GAAAGAGGCAGAGGAGGAAATAAGAGAGCTTTCAGTCAAGGCATCCAGCATCGATCTACTCCTTCTGCCAATCAATTATCCARAAAAGCTGTGCTCGCCAGACGCAAGGAAAACAGAGATGGGAGGACTGATAGCGGGAAGGAGTCGTGCGGCAGCGGTGGAGCGGGAGAGCGAAAGATAAGGCCGAAACAGGACTGAGGAATGAGAAAGATAGCGGCGGTACGAGACATCGGAGAAGAGGGAGATTCCCACTGATGAAAGAGAAGAGAGAACAAAATAAAAGGGATTACGATAAGCAGAAAAAATGTAGAGATTAAGGGGAAAAAAAGGCGAGAATGAGATGAGTGTCAGAGGAGTAACAAAAAAAAAAAAGTGAGATTAGACAAATCATTTWTTATAAAAGCAAGGACAGGTGAAGCACCCAAACAAAATACCAGCACCCTCCTACTTAAAGCCTGACAGTAAAAACAAATCATTACTGTTTCTTGTACCGTCATGCAATTTAATAACAACTAAAAACGCAACCATCTGRGGCATCTTCAGTTACTTACAGCACCTACAAGAGGAATAAAATCACACCCGTGGGATTGAAAACTTGTAGGGAGCGCCATAAATCGGTTAGCGGCTGCGTTTCTGCAGCATGTCGCTGCCTGACGCACCACCAGCTGATCCCACATCAGCCTCTCTCTGGGCTGAGCAGCCCCAAAGGCTGATTTCATGCTTCACCATGGAGACAGACAGTCACTGGGTGCTGCCCTTTTCGTCGCTATGGAGGCTCCCACCGCCAGCAGATATGCCCGCGGACGCTAACGCGCATTCATCACCGCCGTGCCCATGYGCAGAGCAGCCTGCGCCTCCCGCCCCGGGAGGACGCACGGAGGAGATAACGGCAGTCATCATGGATTGATTTGATACGGCTGCTTTTCTGCAAGCTAAGAAAAAGGACAAAATACCYCATCTATTCCTATTATTATCAAGGACAAAAGGGAGCAATGAGGCACAAAACAAGGGAAAGAATAATTTAGAATGGGAACAATAAAAATAAATTGTCTTTATGGCTCYTCCTCAAAGTGACAATGGAGATCCATGTTGCTTTATTTTCTTTTTAATAAAACATGTAAACATTGATTAAATAAAAACATAATTGCAAAAAGTTCAGTTCAGAACGATGCGCCACAACATGAATTTTTCATTACYTTCATACAAAATCTAAAAAATTTAACAAAGCATCTGATTCGCCTTAGCTAAAGCAGTGTTTCCCAAAGTTGGGGTCGGGACCCAAAGTGGGGTCCTGAAACATCAAGGTGGGGTCCTGAAAAGATTTTCTGAATTAATTACATTTTTGCCTTATTTGTTGCAAATGGGTGAGGTTAGTGTATTTAAAATGGATAAATGTAGTATAAAAATATTGTTACTATGCCCAAGTTTAGTTGATGTGATTCAAATGTTTATCATAGTTGGGGGCTCAGGTCTCTGCTACTGTTATTTTGTGGGTCAAAAGCTGAAAAGTTTGGGAACCACTGAGCTAAAGAACACCTTGGCTGTGAAAGGTCCACAGAGTTTCATAAAAGCTGTTAAACATGGGTTTTCAACATGTGTATCTGTTGCTCATTAGAACAATGTTTTACTTGGTAGCGACTGCAGCAACATGAACAAGTAACACATTTCACTCCAGTTTACTTTGTGAGACCTATAATTTGCAGGCAGGGGACAAATGCAAACAAAGCTTTAATTATTATGAAAGTCATGCTGTAACTTGTTCTGCGTTCCAATAAAATAAACAAACATTTTACCAATCTAACACTTATTTTCCAGAAATTAACATTTTGAACACTGCTGCTCTTTATTTTTCCCAGTTATTTAAGTGCACTTTCATGTTTTGAGTTGTGTGCAACCAGATGAAAGAGTTGAGGAGATTATGATCTGGTTAATAAAATAAATATACTGCCTTTATTGAGTTGAATTATATTTATACAACTATCCCAGTTGTAGGACTTATTTGAAAGATTTTAGTATGGAGAAAAGCAACCCTTGTTTTTTGGCGACAATGGAAAAAATGTAAAAAGTTTTATTTTTCCTTTCAAAAAAGAAATTAAAAACCACATTTTTTTAAAAAAATCCTGTCAATAATATTTTTAGGAAGAATATAACAAAAGTGAAAATGGCAAATTGGAAGTTTCCAGGCACAACTGGTGCATTTCCAATCTTAGATGTGAAAAAACACCAAATATGACTGAACCAACATGGAAAAACTTGAAACCAATTATCCTCCCTACGCTGAAGAAAAACAAAACAAAACAGAGGTCGCTGTGGGGCCGAGCGTTTCCTGGAAGCTTCCTAGCTAGGACACGTCCTGACTCAGCATATTAAGAGAAAGAGGGAGGGGGAAGCAGAGAGACGAAGAGAATACCTGGAGTGAGACGTACTCAGAATTCAAATAAATGGAGAAATAWATCAGTTTGTGCCGGCAAAATTGAGTCGAACGAGTTGCCTCGGTATCTAGAGCTTTGCCACTGCACGGAGGAAGGAGGCGGATGTTTTGTAAGGCCACGATAATCCTCAAATGCAGACACTTTAATCAGGCTAGAGATTACACAGGAATGCACGGGCATGTCAGTAAGCAACAGAAACTTTAGCAGCGAGGGAAAAAAAAAATAAACGAATGTAATTCGATTTAGGAAAAGAAATGAAAAAAGAACTTTTAGCTACGAGTGCCTGAATAGAAAATGTTTCTTAAGATGCGTTTGCAACATAACTCGACATCTAGAAATCTGGACACATCCAAGGATCAAGTAAAGCCTTTACATAAGCCTCACATCTGGTTTGGTTTAACAGCTGGTGGCAGGGTGAGAAGCAAGCTGGCGGTCTGAGGGCAGTGGGGCACCAGAGCAGGCCCGGCTCGGAGTCTGGCATCTGGGCAACATGGTCAAAGGGTTAGAAGAAGCTCCCTGCGCACATCTGTGCTTCCAGCCAGGAAAGGACAGTTACCGACAACTTGCTAATGACCTATAAGCTAACAACTCGCTAATGACCTATAAGCTAAACACGGTTGAGAGCAGACAATGACGCACAGCATTAATCTGAGCAAACGAGAGCTTTTCAGCACTAACATCACTCTCGTTTTTTCCAGATGCAATCGCTGTCCTCCCGATTCATTTAGTCATGAACGCACCGAGGGGAAATCTGGCAGGAGCATCTTCTGGATGCTTGTCTTTTTTGCCGGGACACAAAGCCTCGGCGATAATATTCAAGTTTTATGTAAAGTCCAAATCCGAGCCCCACTTCCAGGTTCARATCCTTGTCGATGCTTAGATGAAAAGAAACCAGGCGCGGGCCTTTATCAAACTTAAAACAGGCGTSAGGAAATAAGATGAACACAAGGTTATTTAGGTTTAAGGAAGATTACAAGAAGCAACAATCCCAGCAGAGGAGCTCTTCTCAGTTCAGCTCCAGAGTTAAGATAAGGAAAAAAAAAAAAAAGACATGCAGCATTAGCACTCCTCTTAAAAGAAAGCACCCGCTGCCTTGCAAGTCAAACATTTAAACTAAGTTCTGTTAGCGCTTGTGTTATGTGATGACGATGACTCAACTACTACCACAAGTCAGTATTTGTAAAATTGTCTGACTCATAACCATTTTATTGTGCCGTCATGAAACTAAACAGAAAGATGGCCAATTTTTCTTTTAACAAGTTGGCGTAGTTTGGAATTTCATTACAGACAGTGGGATTTGTTTTTAAATGTATGTTTACTGACTTAGCTGATGAAATTTGAAATGRAGTTACAAGCACTGATACTGGAGCTAAACCTAAATTATTAATGTTTTTTTTCTGTTATTTACATGTAACGTTTTTAATTGTGAAGTTATTACTTCAGTTAAAAGACATGTGAATACATGGCCCAATGCATTTTAAGTCTGAAGGCTCGTGATATAAGATATAACACCATGGTAAGGAGGTAGAGTGGTCATGCAAACAGACTAGYCCMTTTTATGCAGCCTACCCAGACTGCAAAGTGTGGAAGGCTGCAATCCCTGATTTGAGACACAGCTTATAAAATCTTAACTAATCCTCTGAAATGATTTATTGAAGTTAAAACTTAAAACAGGCTGTGGAGAATCACACGTGARGTATCTGAAGATTCTTACCTGTCGTCTCGATGAACCGGATGCATTTCTCAATGAAGACTGGGATCTGCCGGTCAGGGGTGACCACCGTCGAGAGCGGCATGCCGAAGTAGTTGCTTTCAGGTGGTTTGGAGCTGGAATGCCTGGGTTTGGATCGCACTTGTTTCTGACAAGAAACAAAGAAAACAATATCATTCGAGACGAACAAACTCTCTCAACAAAGGCACACGAACAGAGTCTAAATCATGACCTTATTTAAAAAGTTGCTGTTTTCTTGTTTCCTGAGTAAAAACAGACATGTCCATTCCACACATGCCTTTGGATGTTAAACCGATAATCAAACATTCCTGTCGAGATCCCTGTTCTGCCCATCAGATACAGAGATACACATCGTCTGTTCACCACTCTCATCATMTCGTGCTCATTCTTCTTCCACATTTTGCATTCCTCTRTATCTCTTRGACGCTGCAGCTTTGACACAGTTAAACTCTCACTCCCCTGTTTAATRACCTTRTAGCTCAGTTTGTCTTCCTGTTAGGAGACCTAACACAATGCTGCATCACTTGCTGCCTGCCTCTCTCTACGGCACAGGCTTCGGCAGTAATTGTATGGACGCTTTAACGCCGATGAGTGGGAATATTTTTGAAGCCCCGCCCCCCTGAGGTCCGGCTCTCTASTAAGTCTGTCTGTCTGTACCCCTGAAGTGCTGCCCTGCCAGGGATGCACGGTTGGCTGGGCACACGGACAGTGGGTGCAGCGTGGTCCTGACAGACGAACAACAGAAAAAGAGCATTTGTGATAGCACACATGGCACTCAAGTATACTCGCGTTGGATTGACTTGTATCAAAATGAATTTGCATAACAAAGTTTAGTTTAATTCAATGATTTATTCTTGTTGGTTGCCTGTAAATCTAGCAAGAACTCTATTCCCCCAAACTGAGGTAGTTCCAAGCGCTATCTGCAACAGGTAAGATGTTAATTGTTCATAACCGACCTACAGACCTCATTTTCAAACAGGTTGAAGTTATTTTAAATTGCACTATGAGTGAACCACCATTTCCTTTGTTTAGCTTAATAAGAGTCTTGTCTRGACTTTTATTTATTTAACAAGACAAGAAACAAAAACAAAATGGTCGTACAACAAGATTCACTTTTTTTTTCCAAAACCTTTAACTTGTATAGTTGGATTATATGTATTAAAGGAAAAACTTTACAGAGAAAAAAATATATTTGGACTCACCCAATTAAAATGACTCATACTCAGCTTTAACTTTTTTTTAAGAATCAGATTTAAAAGGATTATGCTGACCAAGCCCAGACATATTAAATTATAACAAGATAAATGCTTAATCTCAAAGGAAGCAACTTTTAACTTCGCTCAACAAGCTGTTCTTTGTGTAATAAAGCAGAAAAAAGGGTCATAAAGGATTCTRTCTTTTTATTTGCTTCACTATGTAGCAAAAAAGCACAACCTACTAGAATTTCTTTGCTCATCACTCAGATATTTCATGACATTCCCATCAGCTACATTTAAAATCTACATACATTTACACTTGCATCCAGTTGATGTGCTTCTGTGCTTGGATTACACATATTAAGTGTGCATTCATGCGTTCAAAACACTCACTCGAGGCTTGATTAGGGTTTTAAAAAATGGTATCTAGTCTCGATTGTACTTGCAAAGAGCCTTGCTATTCTCAGCATCAGTTTGGTGTGGCAGCTCCTAATTTATTTCGGTCCTGTCACGGTAACCGTGCTGCGTGTCTGTGCCCTGTCTCATTTTTAACAAACTGTCTCTGTACCCACACACTTCTTTCGTTGGCTGTCTTCTCCCCCTGCAGTTTTGCCTTCTGGCCACTCCTTTTAGTTGCTGACTGAGACAGGATGTGTTGCCAGCTCTAAGACGACAAAACAGACCTCCACCACCGAAACGAAAACAAAGCACCTCCTTATACAGACGCCGCGGTGAGCGTTTACATACACAGCATGCTGAAGGACACTAAAACAAGACCCTTCAGGAGTTCTAACATGAAATTCATTTCCATTCGGGTTTGTTTTTCCTTCCCTTCCTCTTATTTCTTGAATGAGGACACTAGGCAAAGTAGGTATCCTAGGAATTTGAAAATGTTCCCTTTTCGCTGCCTGAGGAGGCTTCAAAACAAGCTGCAGGAGAGAAGGGGAAATGTATCCGGGCTCTCACTGAGGGAGGGTGATCAGGACGGARGCACTCGGTCAACGCCTGAGGTAAAGAGGAAATTTAAAATGAAGTTTGGAGTATTTGTTTAAACCCCTTAACTCAAGGTGGTAGACAGCACCTTAAGGCTCCATCCAGGAAAAATATTTACACTGCAGAACATCAACTCAAACACACTCTAAAACAGGGCTATTCAACTAAATTGCTCCGGGGTCCACAGTTACTGTCAGTCAACAGCTGAGGGGCCGAACATCCAGCAATTAAAGTTATTATGTAAATAAACCAAGTATTTCAAAGATCTGTTATCTTTGATATAGTTTATTTTTGCTGCATTTAATCAAGGATACAACATACAGAACCCTATAAAAGTAGTGATAATTAAACAATCTCAAAAACACTGTCGACGCGTCARGRGTGTATGCTTGCTGAGTGCTATATTTAGCTTTAGAAGAAGATGAAGAGTGCCGAAACGAAGGGCCCAGAAAATGACAAATTATAAAAAGCATGGGAAAATTTAAAACTAAACAGAAAAGACGACAARGCGCGATACGCGTCACATCCTCGATGTTTCTGCACCGGAACAAAAACAGCGGCTGCATGTACCYAACACGTCCGGGMTTAACAACAGGTATCGTTCACACTCCCTTTGGTTACCTAAATCTGTGATAATCTGTCATYTTACAGATGTACGAGGAGGAGATAAATTTTGGCTAATATTTGTGCTGTCTAATCATGGTGACCTGGGTTTTATTAAACAGTGTGTAAGTTGTGTGATTAAAAACAAGACTTACTGTAAGTTTGTCAGATAAAAATAAAAGCACAYCAACAYATKGACAGTTTGAGCTGAAACAAGTWTATTTGTTGATATGCTTTTATCATAGTTTAAATGATACTTGGAGTAAATGTTTCAAGTTTAAAAGTATTTATAGAAGATAGCTGCATTTTTTAAAATTATTTGCTGCTGCTTTTTATGACTTTAGCCTTCATTACTACTGTCATATTTGTTTATAGCTAAGCAGTCAAGACTAAATCTTTTATTGCCTAAATGGGAGCCCTGCATCAACCTAATAACAGTCTTAAAATAATTTTTGGTTACAATTAAGAAGTGAACTCTACAAAAGTCAGTTGCAACACCCAAATGTTTATATTACCCATTTTACTTATTAAATTTCTAACAAAAAAAGACATTCAATTTTCCAATCCATAACAATAAATTTACAGCATTTAGATTTTTCAGTGTTGGTTAAAAATGATTCAGTGACAGAGTGCTTTTAATTAATGCCTCCTCAAACCTTACATACATAAATACAAACGAATCCGATTACTCGATTAATCGTCAGAATAATCAATAGATTAATTGATTACTAAAATAATCGTTAGCTGCAACCCTAATTCTATGTAAATCACAGATAATTGATAAGGGTGCATCTCCTTGAAATGAGAAATAAAACTAAAACTCTATATACTCTGTCTGAACTGCCAAAATCGTCTCTCACTGTTGCAGTTGCATGATGTAAAAAGCATCACTTTGTTTGCAGCTTTGAGTCTTCCACCCCTTCTCGTCACAACCTGCAACCTGGGAGAACTTTTCACCCCTGTCTGCATGAGAACATGTGCGATTGGTCAGAAGTTTGTGGGAGTGTTTGTTTATGCTCAAAGTGCTCAGACGCTGAATTTTGCTTCAACTGCTCGCTTCCAGAATCCAACTGTTGCCCCCGGAAGCAGACATTTATAAAAGGTAGTCAAATGGCCCAAAACTCATGGACTGAGATAAAACAGACACAATATCTCATGACTCAGGGGAAAATTTTTATGAAACTTTTGGGAAGTGATAACTGTAAATACATCTACAACATATTAACCTTTAGAGTAACCAATCAATATTAGCCCAAACAAAAATGGTTATAAGTCAGTCAACTTTACAGAGGAGCTAAAATCTGATGAGGTATTAGCTAAGAGTCATCCCAAACATATTACATAAATTGGCACATTTTGAAGGTTTGAGAAAAGCGACTAAAACTTAATTATTTCAATATAGAATGATCTTAAGTTAAAACTCTGGCACGTAAGGCCTTTAATTGATCCCTCTTGRGATTGAGCCATTCCTTCTGACTGATTAATGCCCCCTAAGTACTGGAGAATGTAGTCTGGGCGGTTGAATAATATGTGCGGACAGCCTCCATGCAGGTACATCACAGCTGAGTGTGTAAAAAACATTTATCATCCACCTCCTGTTCCACCCTCCTTGACAGCCATAGCAATTATCACAGACACACAACCACACCACGCACAGCTGTAACTCCTGCTCGGCTGGCACTTCTGCTGCACGCAACATTTGAGAATGAGCAGCATATCAGGCCGATAAGCAAAAGGGTGAAAGGTCCAAGTATCACCACATCACGGGTAAAAGAAGCACAGAAAGAAAACAGGATGCATGTGAAGAGGGTGGCTCATATTTAAAATTTAAAAAAATGAGAAAATAAAACTCAAAGAATTGACAAAGAGAAGGAAAATATATAAAAACAATGCATCAGAAATGTGAGAAGCAGAAAGCATGAATCAGGAAACTTCAGAAGAAAAAGACAACGAATAAAACAATGAAAGGAAGGAAACAAGAAAAACTCATTCTGACAGGAATTAATCTGCTGTCTCAGTGGCAAAATGAAAAACGATTGCATACAAAGCAAAAAWAATGCCTTAACTTAAACAGTTTGGATCTTTTAAAGTAGAGTTTAATGGAAAGACTATAAACAAATATTATCTTACCTGCTGAAGCTCTTTGAGCAACCTCAATTTGATGTAACAGTTTACTGTAATTTCTGACTAATGATATTAAAACAGTTTGTCTGAGTGGAGCTGAGACCAAAGTGGACTAGTGGGGTCTTAAATAACTCCAATCAAAACCATTTTACATTAATAATAATAATAATAATAACAATAATAATAATAATAATAATAATAATAATAATATAAAATTAACAACAATGCAATGCTGAAATGTAAAATATTATTATATTAGCTGTTTCAAGATGGTAGAAATCCACTTTGGTTTTCGCCACATTCCAATGAGCCGTTTGCTCATCAATCGGGTTCGAATCAAACTTTGTTTCTCCAAACTGAAGCTGTTCAAAGAGCAACAGATTAAATTTTAGATGCCTCTAACCCTTCTCTAAAACCTCCAATCAGACAATCAACTATTCCCTTAAAGCTGCCACTTGTATATACTATAGGCTTTGTATGTAACAAGAAGCTTTACAGAAGATGACTGCACAGTTAGGTTTCTATAATTTACAACTATAAAGGAATTATATATTTGCTCTTTAGGCTGTTGGGGGAAAATGGTGTTTGTGTTTCCTGAAGGGAAGCCACTGCATTAGAGACAAACAAATAAAACAGCCTGTAGCATAATGTGTCTGTTCACATTCACTAAAAGTTTGCTGCATTAGACCACAAGTACACTGACATTCTCTTTCCCTTCTAATGATCTGGCTAGCTTAGAGAACTCCCACTGAGCAGACAGGAAAAAATATGGCACACTTGCTTTCGCAGGAACCCCTACAGTATATGTTTTCACTATGCTCAGCCTTTGACAGCAGAGAAATGATACAGAGCTCTGCTTTTTCTTGACTTTAGCAATAAGCACGGTTATTGACCAAAGCAGACGGCACTGAATCACAGCCAAGAAGCAATTATAATGAGGAAGTTCTGTCCATACATGTGCATTCAAGAAGAKAACAAACTTTAAATGCCAAATTCTATACTTATATTAGCCATTTGATAAAATATTATTAATGTTCTAATCAGAGCAAAAACAATTGAGGAAATAGTAGTTTGAGATTTGCTTAGAAAACGTAATTGAAGCTACAAGGACCAAATGTCCCAAAGGTGCAAGACTTCAAGTACTTTGGGTCGAATGTCCAGGAAAACAGGGACTGTGGTAAATGGGTAAAAAAAAGAGGGTCCAGGCAGGATGCAGAAAAGTTCCAGGAGTGATTTGTGACAAAAGGATCTCAACAAAGGTCAAATGAAGGGCTTACAAGAGCGTAAGTGAGAAAGACCATCTATGTTGTATGATTTGGAGACAGAAACATTGACAAAAAACAGGAAACAGAAAAAACAAAAACAAAAAACAGGAAACAGGAAACAGTGGCAAGTGTCAGAGATGAAAATGTTGAGGTTCTCCTAGGTAGTGACAAGAACAGGAATGAGATCAGAGGTATAGCACATCTTGGATGACTGGAAAATAAAGTTACAGATCAGACTGAGATGGTTTGGACATGTCCAGAGGAGGGACAGTGGGTATATTGGTTTGGACATGTCCAGAGGAGGGACAGTGGGTATTTTGGTAGAAAGATGTTAGAAACGCAGCAGACAAGAAAAAAAAGAGGAGATATACGGATGCAGTTAGAGAAGACATGGAGGTGGTAGGAATGAAAACGGAGTAAGATTGAGAAGGATGACTCGCTGTAGTGATCTCTGAAGAGTGGAACAGCCAAAAGAAGAGGAAGAAGTAGAAGACTAAACTAATTTGTTAGGACATGATTAAGTTAAATAACAATTTATTTACATTTATTTTCAGTCTGTGCACTTTCAACCCATATGTCACACTTTTATGTACAAACACTAACCTTTGTATTTCTGCGCAAGCTCCAGAGAATATTCATTTTTTTATGATCCTCGCCCTCTTCAATTGATTCTTTCGGAGGTCCTCCCTCATCTTGGCCAGTCCTGGGTGGACCCATCTCATCATCACTGCCAAGTGAGAAGCTTGTCCTAAAACTGCTGAACTTCCCAAGCCGTTTAGATCTGTCTCTGTACAGCTTAGGTTTCACAGCAATAGCAGACATCTTTCTCTTTCGCTCCAGCGAGCTGCTATCGGCGTCACTGTCCGACCCATTTCCTGCCGAACTTCCATTGGCGTGACCCTTGTTGGCATTGCGGATGGTAATAATTTTGCCCTGTGTACTATCATGAGGAACGGAGTAAATGTCGTCCTCCTCTGTGATTCGAGGTTTGCTTACAGCATCCATAGGCTCTGCATAGTCTGAAGGGTCATAGCCACGGTCCGTACCAGGTGCCCAGGATACAGCTTGGGGCAAAGAAGGTCGGTTGGTGCCTCCTTGCTGGTCCATGTAGGGGCCAAGATTTACCTTACGGATAGGCTTGGGCTTCACTTGTGGAGGAACCTTGTTGTTCAGCTTGCTCTCAAAAACACTAAGCTCAGAAATAACAGATAATGTTTCATTTGAATCCAGATCTGGCAGCTTGAAGTTTCCCAGGTTGGAACCAAGGCCACCAGGGTCTCTAATAGAAGGGTAGGGTGGTGAAGGATCAATATCATCCTCAGAGTCCATGAGAGTGTTGACAGGACTTGGGGAACCACAACGAGGGCTAATGCTCTCATTGGTACAAGCCTCAGCCACATTGTCATACATGTGAGTGGCCTCAACAACAGTGCGCTTCTCCAGAACCTCTTTGAAGAAAGACTGGAAAAGGTCTATTTTATGAAGCCCCCCCACTACTCCACCATGTCCACAAATCACTGTGTTAAATCTGGCATTTATTTCATTGGCGAGGTCCTCTCCCTGACTGACTTGCTCCTTAGCGGAATCAGAGTCTGTTAGCTCCATCTGACTTTCTGCTACTGCTAGCAACTGGACTGGAATTATGTCTTGGACCTCACAAAGAAAAGCACACATTGTCTCCATWGAGGCCCTGCGGCGAGCAGAGTAAACCGTAATATAGCCATGGACCAGGCCAGTTTTGCGGATGGAGAACGATGAATGAAATGAGAGAATCGACAGCTCAACATTCTGTCTCTGACCTCCTATATTGAGATCTAGAATAACTGATGTGCCACTGCTTAGGCTGGACGCAGGGCGACAATGATGAGGCAAAAGGAAGGGAGCAAGCAACTGGTCTAGATCATAGGTGTCTCCACACATRAGGCACACAACTATCCTGAGATCTGCTTCAAGCACTGGCTGGGACTGAGAGTCTCTGAAGGCAGAGAATGGAGGATGTAATATGGGGGAGCCACTACCAACATTCCTCCGTGTTTCTAAGAGGCTCCTTAGCATCTGGTTAATCTGCCTCTCACTGATATTGCGACCATAACCCAAGCCTGGAGAGGCAGGGTCTAGGTAGGCACACTGCAACTTTAGAGCCACCTGCTGCCCRTGCTGTGTAAGAGTTTGTGCCGTTTCCCCTCCAATATCCCCTATTGTCCCAACACCCCTTTTAGTGACCAGAAGGAGTGACAGTGGGAGTTGAGCTAAGCTATTTTCCCTTTCTCTTCTGCTTATAGTTGACTCTCTAAGCTTTTCTAAACTCTCAACAACATAAGAAAGGGATTCCCTTGAATTGTACAAACACAAGCATCCATGTGGTGTAAAAGTTGGTGTGTGAAATGAGTTCACGGGAAGACGTACGTTGCCTTCTATAGGACGAAGAGCTAACTCATATATTTTGCCATCTAACACGTACCGATCATCACTGGAGCACCATGTCCTCATCTCATTTGCCATGTCTCTGGCTAGTCCATTCTTTCCAAGAATGACCAGATTTATGCGTTCAGCCCTCCCCACGTCAGGCCGTGAACTGTCTGTTGATGGGTATCGAGTGGGGAATCTGGAGGCCAGTATCTGTTCTATCTTACTGTCCACGCAGTGGGGGTTGTTGGGACATGTGTCTTTTGTCGGATGGTAAACGAAATGGATATGTTTTAGTATTAGAGCATCTCTTTCTGCTTGCAGTTTTTGTAGAGCTTTAAATCTTTGTTCCTCACCCAACACCTCCTGAATGGCTGCCATTTTCTCTTTACTTGGTTTTGCATCAACTTCAAGCTCGTAAAAAAGCTCAGAGTACTCAAGAAGCAGTTCCTGAAAGTCTTCTTTTGCTCGGTCTATGATTTCCTTTTGGTGTTTGTTGTAGATATCTAAATATTCAGCTTCACCTAGCCATTGGTAAAAATCTTCATTCCTGATTAATGTTCGGGCCTCTTCCCATGGTTTCCCGGGAGTGATGTCAGGAGAAACGCTTAGCATTTCCTTGAACTCCCACCTCATTTCAGCTCGTTTTCGCTCAGTTCGTAGCTGATCCAGATGGGTTTCGTAAATATTTTGAGCCGCTGGCGTCTCCAGGAGATCCTGGGGGATTCGATCATCCTCCATGTTGTCAATATGGGGTGTGGTCTCCCAAGGAGTATCATCTAGCACTACAAACCAGTGAGAGAAATCTCTCTTTGCCTCTAGAACTTTCTGAACTCCAGACCAGCTGACATGGTCTATTTCATTCAAATCTGGTAGAAGTACAGCTAGYGCTTGTGGTAGAGTACTTAGATAGGCCTTCCTGCGTTTCTCTATATGTTCTTGTTTAAGTCTGTGCACATGCTGCTGGAAGAGCTTCTTTGCTTTAGCTGTTCCCTCAAGAAAAACATAGTCTTTGTACTCAGAGTCTGTCTGCATCATACGATTGACAACAGGCCAGGTGTCATTATGGTTCTTCACAATTTTGTTGATCAGCCATTCATAGCGATCTTTGGCTGAAGCAATCTGTTGACTCTGCTGTTTCAGTGCCTCATAGTAAGGGATGATTTTGGGCTTCCCCCTGCTCTTGTCAATGAGRTGAACCAGTGTGAGAAATGCCAGGTCAACATTGACATTAGATCGTGCTGATGTTTCTACCACCTGTAGGTTCTTCTTGGCAAGAGCAAAAGCGTGACAGTCTTTGATATAGCGCTCAACTCCTTCATCACATTTGGTGAGAACTATTACCACAGGTTTCTTCGTTTTGGCTACCTGGTTATAGAGGTTGGTAACAAACTTCATCTGGTCCTCAAAGCTGCGGTTCATACCCCTGCTAACATCAACACTAAGTAAAAACCCATCCACCACCAGCTTTCCTTCTGGCATTTGCTTTTGCTCAAAGTCCTGCTCCAGTCCAAGCTGATCTGTGCAAAAGTACATCAGCTTTTCAGCTGAAGCCAGCTTGYTGGAAGCTGCTCTCTTGATGTAGGGCTGAAGTGCCGTGCTACGGTGCGGCTGGAACGTCTGATCGTCAATAAACTCTGTCTGCTCCACCACATTCATGCGGCATTCTGAGCCCTCCTCCATTGTCCTTGATGCCTCTCCCCAGTAGAGGAAGTGGTCATTGTTTACCACACGGCCTCCAAAGTCACTGGTGCTTAAAACGGAGGTGTGATCCAGGTAAAAGTCATCAGCACTTGGCCGAACAAAGCGGTTACACAGGCAGGACTTGCCCACACCYCATTGGCCTTTCTCCTTCTCCGTCCCGGACAACCCAACCACAACCAGGTTATAGACAGGTGCCCGGGCATCTTTTTTATTGGCCATCATTAACGCTGGCAGAGGCTCATCCTGCCATGCTGGCTGCTTGCTCTAGGGAGGAGGAGATTGCCAGGGAAGCAGYGTTTCCATGCAAGAGGAGCTCACTGGGTTGTGGTCCGGTCCTGCATGAAAGACAAAAAATACAGAGAATTATTCCACTGAAATAAAGAAAAGATATTTCATGTACATAAATTATCACTGTAACATATTGTTTCTCTCAACTAAATTCCTGCGCCTATGTTGTGTTAATAATGCTTAATCTTTGATCCTATTTAACCAGAAAATGTTTCCTGAAAAGATTGAGGTCACAGGCAAAGCTGTTGGAATATTGCACAATACTTTWACTGAGCTGTAGCTCAGCTAAGATTCCAATTTTATTTTATTTTATTTTTTGCAGTTTAGCTTACTCAATTACAACTTAGCAAAGCCTACAGTGCTAACAGTGCTGCTTTTAACATTTCATGCTTTTATGTTGGCTGAAACTCCATATGTGTTTTGCCTTATTATATGACATCTAACAGTGTGGGTGGCTGTCTCAGTGCCAGCAGAATTAGAATAAAGTCACACATGGTTATTGCTACGGCAGCGAACAAACATGGATTTGCATAAGAGAATAACCACACACTTATAGAAACAGGCAGCTCGAGCTCGCTGCAACCCAAATGAAAGGCACGCACAAGAAGATGAAAGCAGATAAATGTTCCAAAGCTAAAGTTACTAATTGGCCAACTAGGGAGAGCCATCTGCATTTAAAAAGACTGCATTGCCTGTTGGCTCACTCTTCTCCATCAAAAACAGGTTTCCCCATGCTTTACACCCAAAAAGATTAGAGCTGGATAACAGACCATCACTCACAACTCAACATATTTAACCTAATTTGACTAAATAAATTGGTTTAAATGCCAGTGAGAAYTAAGCATAGACTTTGTAATGTAAACTAAGGCTTTAAATAGGACCTCAAAAGAATTTGTGTTGGTAGATCTAAAAATAGACAAAAGACAGATGTCGGGGGATGCTCTTAATGGGTTGCCTCTCACTGATAGCACAATTAGTATGGTATTAAAATCTTAAATTGTAAGACAGCCAGCACACTTAGGACTGAATCATAAAACCACTTCATGTCACAGCTGATGCAATAATGAAGTAAAACTGACATTAAAATCACCATTAATCATGAATAGCTCCTCTGACACAGAACCCAMAGTAGACAAAGCCTTTGTTATTATGAAATTAAATTTGTCAAACATCAGAGAACTCTGAATTTGCAAAGATGAACTTCAAAGTCCAACAGCTACACCAGAACAGGAGAACATGAAAACGGAAGCCGTAGGACAAGACACAAGCTTGCCACATTTGAACTCTCGGGAGATAAAACAACCATATATCTGTTATGTGCAGGCTGCTGTACTCTCTGCYTGGCGTGTTCTTAAAGCTGCTAATTAAAGTTGAAAACTTAGAATCATAGCAAAGCACTAGGTTCCTACTTTTCACAGGACCAATTTTCAGCAATGGTGTGAGTCAACATCAGAGAACCGAGAGCCATGAGTGAACTTAAAGTTCATARCTTTTGAAGTGAAGTTCTGTGGAATTATTTTTGAACAATTATRTAACATGTAGATAGCTCTTTGAACAACCCAAGTTTTGAAAAATAAAGCTAAATTCTGACCAGGTTGATGAGCTATTAGCTAGTCAATAGCAGGGTTATTAAACTGTATTACTGCCATTTAAAAACAGCACTAAGCTAAAATAATTCTTATTGATTCATTAAAACACCGTTTTACGAATCATTATATTGTTGTCACTTTATCTTGAAATAGCTATTGTCAGAMTGTTTGAATTCAAAATAAATTCAGTCCAAACGTTGACCAGGTTTAACATTTATCAATCATTTATCTCAACCCTATTTTTATGTTTCTCAGCAAAAACCTCCATGTAAATTCACTTTGGCATGGTCAGCTAACACATCCAATTTACGTTTTAAGTTCAATATGTGACAAAGAGCTCAAAAGGAATGCAAAATAAAGAGATGGGATGATATTTTTTCCTTTATCTCAGAGGCATGTCAAGGCAAGTCCCAAGGAAGCAGCTTTCAGGATAGAATTAAACCAAAAGTGATGTGAAGATGCAACGGTTAAAACATGCCAGCAGCTAATAAAATAATATAAAATGTATAATTAAATGTGGGTTTCAGTTTGTAAGAACAGAAACAAACAATATATGACACTTTTTTGCCTAATAAATGAAATGTTATTGAAAGCTGCAAACAGGAGCAATTCTTTTAAGCTATATTTTTTTCTTTTTACAAAAAGACGATATGGCCTGTGCTCATCTAAATGATTCAGTTGCAAAGTAGTCGGAAAAACCAACATTTGCCCAGTTCACCCCGAAGGATGATGTCAGCTGCGCATGTACAGCCACATACCAGTATCTTTAGGCCCGGAGTAAAAACAGTGATGTAGCAGAGATAGGTTACGGCCACGAAACATGGCAGCAGGCACAGAAGGAGAGGGAGGAAGTGGTGCAGAAAGGAGGAGAAGGTACTGGTGAAGGCAACAAAGGATGGGATGCTGGGGAACATGGAGAGGATGAAGCTGTGGAGAAGAATGGAAAGGGAGGAAGGGGAGCGGGGTCAGCGGTCTGGGTCATGCGAGGTTCACATTGAAATTCCCTGAGGGAAGATMAGCAGGGTGTAGCGAGGCATTGATTAGTTAAGGGTCTGACCAGACATCGAACTCACCCTCATGTCCAATCATAAACAACATTACAACCCAGAAGCCCACGTTTCACTGCTGTCTTTTCTCAAGACCTTTATCTGGTGGTTTAAAACAGTTAAACCAGTCTATCGCAGAAGCCTTTTCTAGGTCACTGGCTTTCTTAAGGACAAGAAAAGCCAAGAAAGACGAGTTGCATCTGTGGGGTGTTTGAGAGCAGCCTTCAGCTAATGCTTGGGTGACAGGGCGTGAAGTTCATCATTACATGAGTTACAAAGGGCACCAAGGAAGAGACTGTTTTCACTGCCTATGAGGAAAGAACGTGTAGCCTTCGTGGGGGGCTGCATTCCTTTTAGTTATAAGGAGATTTGCACATACGTTTGAAATCACAGCCAACCAAGTCTTGAAATGTATGATGCAAGAGTAAAAGAAAAATCCTAGCCAAAAAAGGGGATTATTAGGAAGTAAAAAATAAATAAAATAACTAAAGAGTTCTCCATGAAGGTCAAGGGTTTAAAAAAAGTCACATTTTAGAGTAAAACCAAAAAATCTGTTGTGATTTTAAGAAAATGTTTAACCTTTTTTTTTTGATGGTTTTCTTTTTTTAGTGCTGAAGTTGTACAATATTTTTACAAGGTACCAGAATGTCWAGAACAGTYGTGTCCAATCCTGGTTCTCYAGGGCCACTATCCTGATGTTTTAGTTGTTTRGCTGCACTTTAYCAGGTTTTCAAGTTCTGCAGATGCCTATCAAGGCCTCTACATGGTCCAAACTCAATGTCGCAATTGAATGACAAAAATCACATTCTGTTCACGGCTTCAAATACGCTGCCTCTTCTTAATTTTTYTCCCCCTCCACATAAGAACTTATTGTGTGATTGGTCATATGTTCATGGGCATATGTGTTTGTGCTGAAAGTGCTTGGATGCTGCATTTTGGTTCAACCACTTGCTTCCAAKTAAATAAAATCTTGCCCAAGGACACAACAACTGAGAAAACTGGAACAGGGGATCGAACTGGCAACCTACCGGTTCCAGGACGACTCCCCCAACCACTCTGTCACAGCTGCCCTTTCTTAAAGAAAGCATAAACTGCTGCCTTTCATGCTTCAGTTTTAAATTAAGATAATTTTATTTTGAAAAATAAATAATGTTTTGGTATTTTTGGTCAAATCTTGAAACTAAAATGACAAGATCTCATGGTATTGGTCAGAGTGTGTGGCTCTCAGCTCCTACTAAACAAAGAATTAGCTCAATATCTGTAAACCTGACTGAGCTAGACCAGTTTTTTTGTTTTTTAAAGTCAGTGGCTGTGGTGGCTATCTTGGATTAGGTAGACTCCAAACAATAAGTTGTAGGTTTGGCATAAGCCAATTGGTTACTGGCCAATTACCAGTTACCAGTTGGCCAATTGGCCAACTGGTATCATGGTGTTAAAAAGTCACAATGTCAAAACCACTCAAATTTTCCATCAGACTCTTCTTTTTAACATAATAGAGAAAACTTTTTTGTGTGGTTTGTTTTTTTCTCCCTTTGGTCACACAGAGCCTCGAGCAGTGTTTGTCCTCTTCTTGGTTCAACCTAGCTTGGCTGTCAGAGAGGAAATATTGCATCTGGCTTCACAAGACTGAATGTTAAATTTATTGCTGATATTGAAAGCAAAACATAAACTCCAATTCTTTGTCTCATTAATTCCCTCCCGGCACGACAAACCTCCACCAAGGTCATAAACATAAGGGAAACACTGAATATCATTTGCGTGGTAACAATCAACGATTATCCCGACTCCGTCATGAACCAGTGAGAGGATGACGACAAAGAGGCAGTAAGGAAAGTCTCTCTCGGTTCTCTAAAATCACACCCAACCCTTTATTTGTCCGAAAATGTTTTCCCTTGATTCCCCCCACTCCTCTTAGCATGATGTAAGTCTGTAACTGGTCGTCCATCCACTCTCTTCCTTATTATTTTACAAACATTAGCATCGCTCTATAGATTTCCCATCCTCATGTGTCAAGATTTTCTCTTTCTCCATCTCGACTCCCCCACTATTTGAACCACCCCACGCCCTTTCCCCCCATCTCTGGAGACTTGTAGTCCATTAGTGAAACACAAGGGTCCTGACCAAGGCAGAGGGGTTGTGGGTGGGTGGAGGCAGTTCTTACATTGATACCACTTCCTGCTCGGACTGTAATCTCCCACTGGACTGACAGATGAACAGAAAAAATAAGGGAATGGATGCTAATAAAGAAGATATAACTTAGGGCTTAAGTAGTGAAGTGTACACACAGACATCCATGCCTTCTAATGCCATATTTAGTGTAATGTGTTCAGTATATCCACTAAAACAAAAGGGACGTGTCTTTTCCACAAATGTGGCCTATCTACGCATCAATCAACAAACAGGAAACACAAATTTCCTTAATTCTGTCCCTCTAC